GGCACCACAAAATTTCATCAGCTAGTAATTTTTCACCTCAAAATACTACCGCGAGCTAAATCCCATAAAAAGAACAAAACAAGTGCGATCATACTAATAGATTCTGAGCCTGTGGGGTCCCTTTTGATGGCCCTACAGGTTCCAGTCATGAGAACACGATCGTTGGGTTCTAACAAGTCACCTTGTCTGAGTTGCATAAACCCAAACAATTTTGAAAACACTCGCGTGTTTGAGACTCACCCACTAAGGGGGGGGGCATATAGCGCGACAGTTCTTGTCGGCTACAGAAATTCCAATTTTTGCAAGGGAAGGGAATCCCCGGGGGCGTGAAAATTTCGCTTAAGCTTTTACACCCAACCCGGAGCTTCCCTCCCCAGCAAAATGGACTATTCATGCAATATGAACTTCCGCACGACATGCCCCTCGCAAGATGAGTTGCACGTGTTTTTTTTTTCATAATAAAAGCCTCTCATATGACGCGATTTAAAGCTGGCAGTTTTCTCTGCAGTTCGGAGGGAATGTTTCCCTTAACTATGACTTACGACAGAATGAAAACAGGCAAAAGAAAACGAAAAACTTGAATCCATGGAGTAGTCATTAGTTGTTTTGCAAGGCTCAAACAAATATTGGAAGGTTTCCACAGCTAATTAAGTGTCAATTGACGATAAAATGAATTAGTAAACAACAAGGATTTGCAACACTAGGCAAAACGGGTAAATACAGAAGCGGGCTCCAATTGTGCTTGAATGTGCGACCATAGTACGATCTAGCATTCTTGCGACACAAAAATCCCATCCAGAACTGCGCCGGAAAAGCTCCAGTAAGCAAAAGAAGCACCCAAATACATGAAGCAAACAATTTTTAGAAAACCCGCCCATTACCACATTTAACTGACACGCGATCTTCTTATCGCAGACGAATCAACATCTCAAAAATAACATCTTAAAAATTAAGATCACCAAAAGAAACACGACTTGCAACCCAATTTTGGCTAGCAGTGAAGCGAGTCGGATGCCAGTTATGGACCACGCGAGTTATGAGAGTGGTCGCGCGAATCGAGACGCTATAAGGAGTAGAGACTCATGAGGAACGGAGCTTGACGCAAAAATCTGTCGGATAAAAACATCGAGAACTGCATTAAGGCGGCCAGCTGCTGACGAAAAATGTGCAAATTGACAGGGAATTTCTTCGAATTCTTTCCCTTGAGGACTTTCGGTTGTGTTCTTGACATCTGTCAGAAACATCACACGGTAAGGAAATTTTTTTGGATTGAGGAACTCTCTCCGGGAAAGTTCCAAAGCAGAGACCTCTTCTAGTGAAAAAGACCACGAAAAGTTATGTTCAACGCCGTGGAAGCTACGATTAAGATTCAACCTGAAGAAAAAAAAATTTTCTATACCTCATGAAGGATTCCTATTCTATTCACATTTCAGAACACGACGGGGTTGTTTTCAAACTACTGTGTAGTATGGAAGGCAAAAGCTGATGCTAACGTCAGAAAGGGTGCTTGAAACGCAGCAAATTTGACGCAACGTGGGACGCACTATGGCTCTATAAAATGACAAATGACAGCGGACTGACAGCCCATTGTCACAAGTCGGCAGCTAGTAGCAATGAATGTCAGAAACCAGAAACAGACTGATTCACGGGACAATCTCGCTGACTTTTTCAAAAGCTTATGCATAGCAGAATTCTCAATCAAATCACGACATCTTCGACGAAATTCGTGAGCAAGTCATTTGCTAGAAGGGGCGGAAAAACAGGATTCGCTGCAAAAACAAACCTTGTCATCACCCACGATCGCAAAACTGCCTATCTTCCGAGTACATTCTTCTCATCTCATCGGCTTCAATTCGAGCCGCGAATGTACGCTGTCATAGGGACTTCACTTCGACGCGTTCGAACAGAATGACTGGGCGACTTATGATCCTCATGTGTAGTTGATTTTTTCACCTTAAAAAGGAATTTAGAATTCTGATGAAAAAACAACAGCCCATATTCGAACGACTCGTTGAGGAAGTACGAGACCCACTTTTTTGGTTGACGAAATACTTAGCTGCTTTCCGAGAGCTTTTCGTCGAGCAATCGTCGCCGCTTCCAACTCTGCTGAGCCCATATTCACCACATCATCCTTAAAAGAGAAAGGGCTTGAAAGTACCACTCAACTTTTATCGTCTGAGTCTAGGAAACTTACCTTAGAGTAATTGCCGGGAACAATGATTAACCAATAATGAGATATCGGACCATATTCCTCGGACGCAGGTCTTAATCTGATCACAACCTGACCAGGTCGACCACCCATTCCATTCGTGATCATCTCATCCAACTCGGGTGGGAAAACAAACGGAGGGCCCGTGGGATCGGTGACAATCACGACCTTAAATGGAAGCTTTATCACCCTTGGGACAAAAAGCTAGACAAAAAAAACGTACTTCTTTAGGCCAATATTGTCGAGCGCCCGGCGGAAGAGTACGTACACCCACATGGAACGTATATTGCATGTACGGGCGAAGATTGGTCCACCTAGGGAAGAAAAACACTTTCTAAAACAACGTCGCTGGTCCTAATTATAGGGTAAGGTGAACTTACAGATATTCTCGACTGCCCTCATCCAGTTCATGTTTAAATCCTGGGGTGGTCATGCTTTTCATCGCTAACGTGTGATCAAAATATTCTTTCTTTCCCGTGTGATTCAGGTAAAATCCAACATGAACCGGGCCGTTGTAGTCCCACCTGAAACAGCCAAGCTGAGTGATGAAAGTGGAACCAATTAACGTAAGTGTACATAGTGCATCCACGAACCTCAGCTTAACCGAATTACTCGTTTTCCATTCCACTACGAGATTCTGCACCATATATGTTGGAGTGAGTCTTTCAAGTAACGTCGGTGGATCCGAACATGCTCCTTGACGCTGAAAAAAACAAAGATAAAAATAGTGTACTCTTCAGATAAAACAATGTTAACGTCACTATTTCCCACTAACAATTAGTAACAGAAATATAGTGAAAACTCTATTGTCTAGCGCTAACATTTCAAAGAAGCGATTCCGTTTCTTTCTACGAAACTAATTTCCTGCAAGTAAATCCACTCAACGGCGAGTGTGCCGATGTACATCGCATAGACCCTCGAATCTAGTAGAACATAGAACAACAAACATCTACATACACTCCGAGAAGAAAAACAGGATGCAGAACTGGTAAAAATGGTCGATTTATGTAGGATTTGGTGTTTCCCTTCAGATCCAAGTTTGTTTTTGGATTACCGGTCCCTGGTGTAGTAGGATTTTGGCTACAGGACGAGTAATAGGAGTAAGGCTGGTGTCAGAGTCCGCGATCCGTCGCGCGATTCGCGCGAATCGCAAAAATCGCAAGTGCCCATTTGAACATTTGAAACACTGAATATGAAACAAGTAGAATCATGAACAGTCGTCATTCAGCCATCACCATCAAGCAGAAATGGCGGCGATTGGAGAGCACCTTGCAGTATTGATCGGGCACTTGTGATTCTGGCGACCTGGTCGCGCGAATCGCGCGAAACCTACGACGGATCGCGGACTCTAACACCAGCCTAAACTATCCAAGTTATTTCTTCTGCGTTAAGCTTCGCTGGAACTTGGCCAACAATCCACATTGGTGACTTTCATGAGTAGCACATTACTGTGTATTGATGAGTCATGTGGGTGAGAGCCATGTTTTTGATTGATTTACTTTTTTGTTCCGAAATTGCCTATTGATTTCCACAACTAAAAGAACATCTTCATATTCGCTTCAACGAAGGATAAAGCATTCGGCGCTGAACAATCCCGTTTTGGAATGCGCCACGCATTCCACTTCCATTTAGAATCGTAACGGCAACTTGAATGCAATTAGGCTTATAGAGCTGACCTTCGAGGGTCAGCCAATGTATGAGTCAGAGTCTTTTTTATTCCTTCAGGCAATGCCACGGTACTAATCAAATCCGATATCGGAAGGATGGACCTCAACGAGCCCGTGGTAAGGTCAGCGCCACTTGCCACTAGTCACCACAACGGCCTGAATGATATAAGATTCTTAATACGACTAATACGGCAGTGATGAAACAGAGAGTAGCAAAAAATAACTTCGCAACATGACAATGTACATTTACTTAGCAAGACATTCAGCTGATAAGCGCCCTTTTGGATAGGACTCGTGCATATTTCGGAATACATCCCAGAATTGTATTGAGCATGGCTTATGTGAGATGTTTATTCGCCCATGGCGAGCCGCGGACCCGATTAATGCAATCCAGGATAAATACAGGCCTTATGGGCTCACCCGGGGAATCGATTTGCGGTTTGATTCCAGTACTATGAATGTTGTGAAAATGACACAACTCTTTTCTCTCCCATCTCCACCTCATTGGGCACCTAGTGCTTCATTCAAACTCTATTACGGTTTTCGTAGCCAAATTTTAATGCTCACTCGAGACATCGTCACTATGAGAGGAAAGCCTGTGCAATTTCGTGACTAATCGAAGGGTTATTCTAGGGTTGTCCAGACGTTCGTGCCACTTTGTTTTTATGCACCTCGACTGTGCCAGAACTTCCTTTAAGGATATTTGTGTGAAATTGGTAGAGACAAATAGGTAGCCTAAGACCAACACTAGCTTGTCCGTGAATCGACCATATACTACGAGACTAATTTGTCGTGCGCTAGCTGCTTTCCTTCGGAACCGTAATGCGCGAGAGACCAAGTGAAGGGAGAGAGCCATCGTTTTCATCAAATCTCTCGTTTATATTACTCGAATATCTAGTGAGCAACACCTAAGAGATTATTCCACTCCAAGTCGGGTCAAGGAAGTGAAGGGGTGAAGTTTTGGTAACAACGCTGAATACCTGCTGACTGCGACATATTACCAACTCATCAATTCTTTAACGACAACTTCTGTTAACTAGCCCTTATTGTCCTTGCTAATGAATCACTTGGCCTCATAGACGAGAAACGTGCGGGTTGAATCGTTTCCAACAACTATCGATCCTGTTAATACCTCATTGAGAGAAAGGAAACAATCCCATTAAGCAGCGGATATCAAAAAAGTATGTGGGACCGCTTCCCTTGATGAACATCATAGAACCAACCACACTCTAACTGGAAGATACTTGAGTTGGAAGAATTTTTGTAAAGAAAAAATTTCCAAGAATTAAAACACTTCAATGGCGTGGGTCTTTTCATTCCTTAATTGTCGAGAAAATATGTTCAGAGCAAAAACTGTATTTGTCCCTTACCCGCATCAAGGCGCTTATCGGCAAAATACAGGGGCATTGTGGTGGCAATGGAATAAGACCACATTATACATCTCGCTTATGTTACAAGAAAATCGAAAGTGTGCCTTAGGCAGGAACGACTCCATAGCGCGTGGGCAATCCTTTTTGCTCCATAGTCCTGCCTTGCCCAGGCTTAGTGCCAGAGAATGCCCCTGTATCTTGCGATAGCGCCACAATATCTTCATTACCAAGAATCGAACATTACGAAGCCTACACAGGCTTCAATTCTTATTACATTTGAATCATTCATTCAGGAGTAAGTAGTGTGGAAGTTCGTACTTTTGGGTCAATCACATTCATTCACTCATTCATACATTCACATTAATTCACAATCTCGGAGGCTTAATTACCATGCACTTTCTGTTTCCTCCTACCGAAATCCTTTCAGAAAAAAGTGACACACTGAAAATCGCCCACCTAACTTCCGGTACCAAAATAACGATTGCTTTTATCGTAATCTCATCAACACTACTATGAAAGGCTCGAAAAATGTCATCAATCAAAACATGCCCCTTCAAAAGTGCGTCAATACTACGTCAGAGAAACGCAATTATACCACTAAGGGCAGCAAATTCTGGGAAAGGTTTAACGCTCTTCTGGATAATCGCACAAAAAAAAAAAACAGAGAAAATGGCACATAGGGCGCCCAAAACTTACATTATTTTTGATGGCCAGGACACAAAACGCATAAGGCTTGTGTGCTGTCAGATGAGGAACTTCGAGATGTCGCGACGTGGGGCTCATCACAGTACGGGCCGTCCATCTCTCAGTATCTGAACGTCCTCCTGGCTCATGCATGTACTTCACTACAAATCCATCAACCTGAAATCGATTTTTGAGATACTGCTTGGGAAATATATAGACAACGGTTGAGCCTATTCCTAGAAAGGACCCTTTCAAAGAGTTCAACATATTGATGTAAAACTGCTTATAACAGCATCGAGTTAAACGACGGGGTTTTTCAATTAAACTGGAGTAAAATAAAATATACACTTCAAATCAGAAAACAATAATCACCTGTCCATTTTCAAAGTCCCACTGTACCACAGCCGAGCTATTTGATGTAGCCTCTACACGAACATTTGTTGGGGGACCGACGAGAGCTAAAATAATCAC